ATAACGTTTTTCATTTTATATTTTTTATTAATAAATAATATATTTCCTTTATATTTTATAATAATAAACAAAAATGTAATTATCGGTAATAAGAAAATAAAAATATATAAATAAAAGTCACCGATAGGTATCCGATAGTAAGAAAAAAGTTTCTGATATTGAGGAATATATAGTGACTGATATATACCCAATATACTATACCGATATATTGAAGATATGTGCTTAATAAAAAATAAATGAAATCGGGCGTCCGATAAGTATATAATATATTTTAAAAAAATGCCAAAAAATCAGAACCCGATATGTGTCCGATATCTGTCAATATGTGTCCAATATGTGCCCAAACTTCAGCACACTCACTCTACCTATCAGGAGCCCGATATATTAAAATTTATTTAAAATCGGACATCTATCGCATACCTATTGGATATATGATAGGTACTGATTTTCTACAATTTGACCAGTGGATATGCCTGTTGGATAATTAATGATGCATGATTTTCTTTATACAATACTAGTTGAATTTTAAAATCCCTATATTCAGGGTCATTACCTATTTGTTTATGACTGGTTAAATTATTTTTGATATGAAATACAAATTTTTTCCAGTAATCTCTATTATTTATTTCATATCCTAATTTTAATAAACGCTTGTGTATATATTTTGGTGAATAATATTTTGCAAACCGTAACCATGCTTCTGACATTTTAATAATGTTAACAATATAATTTTCACCATATTCACTTAATTCATCTCTTACTTTGCTATAACTCATATTGTGTATTTGCTATCATAAACATGTAAATTTTATGTGTCTTTGACACTAGCTCCACTATTAACTTAGACTTTTTATTTAATAGATAATCAATGGAGCTAACCGAAAAAATAAATATGGCAAATAAGTTAATTTATTAGCTTATTAATTATCTAATATACAAATTTAGATATCATAGGTATCAGCGAGCTATATACTTTATTTTTTCTTATTTCACTTCTTTGTATATTTAGAATAAACTAGATCAAGGTCTTTAGATACATGTTTCATCCTCTGAGCTAATGTTATGAAATGTATTTACAGATTTATATGTATCTTCTTTGAATATATTTGAAAATTGATTATTAATAATTTATATCCCCCATCGTAACCTGTCCATATCTCTCTTTAGAGCTGCAATGGAATCTCTGAGATATTTAAGTTCATTTTCTATTATGAAGCAATGGCTCTTCGAGCTTACTTTTTGTTCCGAATTATCATAAAAACTTTTTGTCATTTTGATTATTATACAAAAAATATATCTATATCTTGATAATTAATTACTTAACATGTGGATCTAACCTGTAATACATAAAAAATCAGTTAATTCAGATCGTGATCACAATATAAGGACACAATCAATTAGTATCCATTATATCGATTTTTATTACTAAAAAAAGAATTATCCAAATACATATAATAATTTTTTCGGTTTTTAAATGTGAGACTAAGATTTTTTGTTATGCTTTTATTATTGCAGTTTCTGCTAATTGTTTTTTAAATTCTCTAAATTCTGGATTATATGCTATTTGTTTTCTCATGTATAAATTATTTTTAATACGGAATATGAAGTTTTCCCATTGGTCTTTGTTTTTAATATCATAACCAGATATTAATAAATAGTGTCTCAAATATTTTTCAGGATAAAGTTTTGATAGCTTTAACTAATTTTTTGATGTTTATACCTTATTAATAAAATTTAGACCGTATTCCGTTAGTATATCTTGTACTGACATTTTTATTATTATACAAAAAAAGAACTATATTTTGATAATTAATTACGTATCTGTCTCCGGAGCTTCATATAATTTAGTCATCAGCTTGCACTAATTTACTCAATTCTGATCTAAAAATATTCTTTGCAATTCGTTCCATTTCACACTGTTTTCGCATCCTCTTTACTTTGATGGGATCAGGCTTGACGATATCAGGTTTCTTGGGTATATCTATTTGAGGTGTTGGTTCAGGTGATATATCCATCTTCTCAAATTTACTATTATTGATGTACCAGTTAGGTAAGTTCGCGTCTTCAATTGAATTTGCATATGAGTATAGGTTCTCAGACTTCCATATTTTATTACACTTTTGTGTACCAATTCTATACTACTCCGAAACTTTTTTAAATCCACCTTTTAATTTCTTGGTATACATTATACAATCGATATCTTCTTTAGCTAAACGGGATGGAGGTGCTCTTGATTTGATAGACTTCTCCGACTGTTGTAAATTGGGATCTTTGCTGGTTCTTTTTGGTACCATCTTAGAATGAAATTATATCTGGTAAGAAAAAAAAATGCATAATTTATTCTTAATTATGAGTACACAATGCGTCTTAGATTTACCTGAAATTCTTGAAAATATCTTTAGCTATATCCCTCATGAAGAACATTTATTTTGACTTTTTATAGTTAATTATACCTGGTGTTCAGAAGGAGTTCGATTTCTCCTGAAGTGGTATAGGAATATGTTTTATTGATATAACAATAATTTTAATCTTATTCTATTAATAAATCAATTTGAAGGTCTTCAGTGTTGCAATATATATAAACCTGTTCACAAAAAAAAATATATTAGCCTACTGAAGATGAATATAATTATACACATAACTTGGATAAAGAAGATAAACTTAAAAATATTTTCTCTGAAATGAAGATAATATTAAATATCTTAAGATGATAAAAGATTATATACCATCCATATTATATGACGAGTTTCGCAAAGATATCGTTAACCTTACAAATAATTATCAATCTTTAGA